TATATATATATATATATATATATATATGCACAGTTTTGTAAGCCAAGGAAAAAGAGTAATGAACAAATTATAGACAGATTGTTTGCACCGTTATGTCGAAGGCACAATGGTGTCATATATATATATATATATATTAGTAATGAAAAAATTGTAGACAGATTGTTTGACACTATTGTGTCCAAGGAAAATGAGGAATATGATTTGTATTGTGGTTATGTGCATTCTATTTGATTTACTTTTCGTAAGTGTGAACCCCCTAAAATAGATTGATGTCAAAATCTTAAACATTGGCATGCCTTTTCGTGTAATAAAGAAATTTAATTAAAAACTCCAAAGTTAAGTGTGCTCAAATAGGAGCAATGTTAGGATGGGTGACCGTTTGGGAAGTTACAACAATGAGGCAAAAAAGTGAGGCCATTTGGCCAAAGTCAATATTACCTTGATGGTTGAGAGTTTGGCTGACAAAAATAATATTAGAGCAATACATCGACTTAAAAATGGGAACTAAGTTTCATACATAATAAGGTGTTATGTCATGGGATCCATCTATTAAACTCTGGATGGAACAAACAGTTACATGGTGGGAGTTGCCTTTTGAATCTGTAGTGGCCACTCCTAAAGTTTTATCTGCCTGGTGAATGATTTTGGGTATTAAGGCGACGACATCAGGTATTTAAGTGGGGTAGATTATGAAACCATTTAAATTGATTAGAGCCAAACTCTTAAATATTGAGGTTTTTGTTGGTGTAACTATGGAATTTCTTTAGAAACTCCAAATTTAAATTTGCTTGCATAGGAGCAATCCTAGGATGGGTGACCTCCTAGGAAGTTACACCAACTAGGCAAATCGTGAGGCCTTTTGGCCAAGGGAACAATTGCTTGATGGGTGAGAGTTTGAGCTGAAGATAATGTTAGTTATTGTTCAAATTCAAAGAATATAATATCAAATGACTTTTTATGTGACAAATGTTTGTTTTAAAAAAAGAGTATAATCTCAATAGCATAGTGAAGTTTAAAAAAACAAACATCACGACTATTTGTTCACCCATGATTTGATATGACTTTGAGACTGATGAAAATTTGAATTTTAAAAAATTTTATAGAGTCATAACAATTCCTTAGCAAAGTCAGGTGATCAACATCTTCTAATGTCTAGCCAGTGAATCAATGATGCCAATGGAGACGTGCTTAAATGAATGACAGAAGTATAGATTGGAGTTGTCAATGCATTCAAATTTCTTCATACGGAAGTTAATGGAGTAGAAAATATATGATTTTCAAAAAGAGATGCATTCATTTTTCATTCAAAAGGAAAGAAGAGCAAGGATTGAAAATATTGACACTAATACTTTAATACAACTATCTACAAAGAGACAAGCTGCAAATGTTATGTTTGTATGAGATTTACATATTGATGAGTTGGTAGATTGGTGAGATTTTATCTAATGAGATAATTAACTTCTTCAATTGATTATTTAAAAATTTTGTTAGTATAATGGATGAAAAGAATCCCTTAAAAAAAATTCATTGATCAGGATCAAACAATGAAGTGAGTTATAAAAGACTCATTATCACATGTGTCATAGATTATGCAATGGCATGTAATTAATATATTACCTTCAAAAGTATATTACTTCATCGTAATAAAATAATAAATGACTTATTTTATACATGCATGGGTAAATAAAGTTTAGAAAGGTCTGAGCATACAACTAAGTTGCTTGAAAAAGGGAACCTCCTGATAGTGTTTGGCTAGAAGAGTTGTACAACATTGGAAACAAGTGATCAAGCCTTTAATAAGGATTTCTTTGGCTTGAGAGTTTTATGCACGCATTGCAATGTGAGTCTACAAGTGCAGTATGTTATGATATATCCAAACTTACAAATTTTATCATTGATTTATTTTTGAGACTCAAGAATATTTTCTCTGGAGATGAAATGAGAAGAATAAAGATTTCATATGTACTCAATTTGCAGTTGTTCTTGTTGTTAAAAGTGTTCCTATGTTGAAGCAAGCAGCTTTCTTCTATTTCAAAAAGTTGCACTCATATTTTGTAGAAGAATTTCTACATTTGCGCGATGGGCTTGTTGTATAAGTATTTGATAATAGTCTTTGAATATCATCAAACTTATTGGATCGTGAGTTATAAGAGCAAGTAGTAGTGACTCCTCATCCTTTAGGTCCTTGAATGAATCATAAATTTATAATAATCAATAAATAAATTAACAATGTTGTGTATGCAAGTGTAATTTAATATAAGGATTGCAAAAATTTTAATCCTATTCTGGCCTTAGCTTAAAAACTAAAATAAAACAGGATTTTATGCTACAAGTTCCAGTTTTTTACCACCTCATAATGTGGTACACTTTGCTCTAACTAAAGCGGGGATAGAATTGTACACTTTGAATGATATGTGGTTGTTGGTCAACTCTAACAACTCAGTTAGGGTCTTCGGTCACAGTAGACCAAGAGCATACTAAAACGAACCTTCCTTTAGCATTTAGGCATGGGTGGCTTGTGCCACTGTGGATTCTAGATGCCGCACCTCCAACATCTTCTTATGGAATTGAGTGATGAACAAGCAGAGGTTCTCATTTTGTCTTGCCTTATCTGCAAAAAGGGTTTGTAAACTCTTTTGGGGCTTCTGGAAGATGTCGAGCTGAGCCACAAATATCCTTTCAAAATTAGTGAACAATGTGATAATCCTTTATGATAATCCATTGAACCACTTGAGAGTCGAAACCCTAAACGTGATGAAAAAAAGACGACACTTCAGCGCGTCTATGATATTTAACAAACAGATGGTCGACTCAAAGGAGGATATGTGGTCGGCCTTATCATTCCGACTAGGGCTGTAAACGAGCCGAGCTTCAGCGAGCTCAGGCTTGGCTCGTGTTCGGCTCGTTTGAAATAGCTCGTGTTCGAAATCGGCTCGTGAACAGTGTGTTCGTGTTCGGCTCGAAATTGACTCGTTAAACTAAAATTGAGAAAAATAGATGTAAAGTGTGAGATTCGAACCTGGATCAAATATATACAAAAGAAGACACTAACCACATTGCCACATGAGGTGTTATGATTTAAACTTAGACATAAATATAAATAATATATTATTATATAAATGATATATGTAATATATTGTTATATAAAAAGTTATATAATTTTTTTTCGAGCCATTTTGAGCAGAACACGAGCGAACAAACTGTTGTTCGTGTTCGGCTCGTTTACATTTCGAGCTTAAAAATTTGTTTGTGTTCAACCCTAATTTCGACTCTTATATGATTCCAAAGCATGAATTTTGAAATTTTATGGGGACTCATCCTCTGAGATATGTTGACATAACATATTATATGACTGGCGAGGCGCCTCTATGCACCCAAATCACTATCAATCTATCAGTGTCGACCTAGCATTATTGAGGTACTAGGAACCTCCTTCCCTTTATACAAGCAAGGGTGTCATTTAGCCATTGGATGCCAACGATTCCTCTTAGGAGATTTTGCTCTCTTCACCGAGCCAATGGTTCTCTAAGGGCATTAGTCATCTTGTACTTCAATTATTGGAGTAACATAAATTCCCGGGTATATTTCATGTTATTCACATCTCTGCTGGGACTTGATCTGTAAATTATGTGCAGCGTATGTAAATTTTCCTATATAAAAGTCTCCTCGCGACTTATTTCAGCATTTCTCCTCCCTCCATTTCCATGCACATGGAAGAAAATTAGAAAGCCAGCGAAAAAAAAATGGCACTGCCGGACGAGACCTTCTTCTCCGCAGGCGTCCTCGCGATGTACGTCTTAGCGCCCATGAGCGCCATACCGCTTCTTTTCATCACGGCCCCTTACGGCAAGCACTCCCGATCTGGCTGGGGCCCTTCTGTTTCGCCGCCGATCGCTTGGTTCCTCATGGAGAGCCCAACCCTTTGGCTCTCCGTCCTTTTCCTCCCCTTCGGCCGACATCGCTCCAGCACCATAGCTCTCTTCATCCTCTCCCTCTTCTTTCTCCACTACATCCACCGCACCATCATCTACCCTCTCCGCCTCCGCCGCTTCCGCAAATCCTCCAGCGGCGGATTCCCCATTTCCATCGTCGCAATGTCCTTCGGCTTTAATGCTTTAAACGCATATATCCAGACCAGATTCGTCACCCACTACGCGGAGTACGACGGCGGAGCATGGGCCGGCGGGATTTGGACGGCGACGAGATTGGCGATCGGGCTGGGGGTATTTCTTTGGGGCATGACGGTGAATGTGAGGTCGGATCTGGTGCTGGTGAGGCTCAAGGCGGAGGGCGGAGGGTACAAGATTCCGAGGAGCGGGTGGTTCGAGCTGGTGAGTTGCCCTAATTACATGGGGGAGGTGGCGGAGTGGCTGGGCTGGGCAGTGGTGGCGTGGTCACCGGCGGCGTTTGGTTTCGCGCTCTTCACGGCGGCGAATCTGGTGCCTAGGGCTTGGTCGCACCATAAATGGTATCAGGAGAAGTTTGGGGAGGATTATCCCATGTCTAGAAAAGCGGTCGTGCCCTATATTTTTTGATGATTCCATGAATGTTGTTTTGGTTGGAAAAAACGGAGAACTTTCAGGAGGTGTTTGGCTGCTGGATTTAGAAAGTAGGATTTTTTTTAATCCGATAAATTCCGTTTTATAAAATCCAGCTATGTTTAATGTAAATTTTATGTTTGGTATCATATTCCTTCATTTAATAATTTCGCAGGAAATTGATCTTCCAATGGTCGAGATTTTGGACGGTCTCTTCTCTCTCCTCATGCATATATCATTAATGAAATTCTGACAGCAATTTTTGTTTGCAATGCATACGCATTTATTCATTTCTGGCTTTTTATTCCTCTCAAACACTAGAAATTATTGTGTATGGAGAGATTACATAAATTGCGTGCGCTTTCCGATCACAGCCGCATATCAATCATCCCTTTAATTTTTTATTTTTTTAATTTAGTTAAAGTGGAACCCACTGACATACCGGATGGTTGATGTTCTACTGTGATGGGATAGCGCACGTAATTTTATGCAATAATTTCTCTCAAACACATTGCTTCAAGATCAATCTAAGGTCTGTTTGTGGAAGTCAGTCGTTACAATGATTGGTTTCCCAATTTAAAAAGTTTCATTTATTACTTTGTTCTTTTCATCTTAATGCTTTTTTAGCAGGATATAGACAGCAAAACTAGCCGTATCATTTGTTACAGAGACAGCAAGCTTATAAAAAGATTCGAACCCCTCATCCGAATATATAATCTTCCATGATTGTGCGGACTTTTTGTTTTCTGGCACAGAGAAGTAAGACAGGTCTCCTAGGGAAAGTAGGGAAAGAGAAATAGAGTTAGTATTTCCCATACAAAGCTTGAAAATAGATTATGGAATGGAGAGATTTTTCAAGAAGGTATAACTATGATTCAAATTCAGCTTTAATAAGTGGTCTTATAAATAAATTTGTTGAAAACAACCCCTTCAGATTGACTATTTGCATGTTTTGATTCTTTACTTGCATCAAATTATGTAAAAGAAGCTGAGGAGCTTATGGTAAAGCTCCAACAATTCTTGGCAGTCTATGACATGGTAGCTTCCCTGGGAAGAGCTTGGATCCTGTACAGGGGAAAGGTTTACCAGCATCCGCTGCTAATAAGAGTAATGCAGCTACTAAATTCATGGATGTTTCGCAGAGGCAACTTGCATGTAAGATTATAATTCAATTTGTCTTTTTACCCATCGCAATTATTTTGTACCGAACCCAATAGGATATCAGTTCCCCTTTCATCCAACTCTTAA